TAGAGTTATTGACTGATATAGGCAGCTATAGATATCGAATAAATAAACAAACTGGGAAGTTAACCTAATAAAAATAGATTAAGTAGCATTCAGGTTGCCTGGAAGCTCGCTTTCTCTGGGATGAGGTTGTTCCATAGAGCCGGATGGCCTTCTCACTGCTGGTCAGCAGGGCCTTTGGCAAGGGCCCTATAAAGCCCTTCACTTGGTTCCCATCTAGTTTGTTGTTCCTGCAACCTATTCATTTTTACTTGTTATTAATTGAATTTCTTTGTTTTAGTTGTTGTGAGCCACCCAAAGTTGTTGGGAATGGGCAGCCTACAAATTTGATAAATAAATGCAGCAGGCATCCATTGCAGGAAGATCTAAATACTGAAAAATGCAGAGTAGCAATTGAAATTTCAGAGCTTTTTGTAACTATTCAAAATTATTCTTGAATTTTTATTTATGTAGGAATTCTTTTTAGTAGTATTCTGATGTTTTCTGTACTATCTGGTAGCACGAAAAGTAAAATGATCTGAGTTTAGTGGTTGTGTAATTTTTTTGTGCCTAATCTTAAATGCATTTACTGGAAGGTCCAATTATTTTCAACTGAACATTAATATTCATAAAGATTTACTTAAGGGTCTGCAACTCAATTCTAAATTAAATCCATGCAAACAATGTGGTATTTTTGGTCCAGCAAATTTTTCAGAGAAAAGAAAATGAAAGTTTATTAAGACACTAGTATTTATGATTGTTATTCAACAATTCCTTTATCAGTGTCTGTGCTGCTATGTAGTATACTGTATATAGTCTCTTTTATCTATATGTATTTATTTTTTAAATATCTATATTATTTGAAATATACAGTTAGACCCTCAACTCTATATAAAAATAAGGATAAAACATCCATGTTAAAAATAAAATGTCCATGGTACAAAAATAAAAATCTAAGAATAACCAACTTATAATTTGAAAACAGAACAAGGAAATTTACCAGAATCCATTATCTTAATTGTTAAAAGCTGCCATCAGTGCCTGAAGAAGCCAAACTTTCAGGGATAAACTGAAGCAAAAAAGGTTGTAAAACTGGGCACAAATCACTTAACAACAGCTTTGCTTAACAATGGAAATTCTGGCCCTAACTGTGGTTCTAAGTCAATGATGCCTACCTGTATAACAAATCAGGTGCCTAGTGAGGTCAGTGAAACATTAGAATGTAATTAAAAGATGACAGGGCAGAATCATAAAGGCAATGGGGTTTTGAAATAATAAAGAGGCATTATTCTATGAACATAAGTTTCTTTCCAGGGAGTTTCTTTTGCTTTCTCAGAGCACTGATCACCTTCTATAACGTCCTACCATCATCTCATTTTTTCCCCTAGCTTATCAGCATTCCTCGGTTTTCTAAATGTTTTCTGGCTGACAATATTAATTTCCTTGGGAAAGTATATTTGGGATAGGGATTAGGGATTTTTAGCTTGAGCCCCCAAATTCTCCTTCAGTCTCAACCTTATCATGGATGCAGCCTTAGTTGGGGACATAAAGTTGGTATCACAAGAATATCATGCTTTACTCCAAATCAAAGGATGACTTCTCTCAACGACTTCATGCAGAGTTAAAGAAAATGGAACCCCATGGCACTTCATACATCATAGGCCAGTGATGGAGAACCTTTTAGAGACTGAATGCCCCAAACCACCCCGACCCGCAGGGCCAACCACCACCTCCATGGCCCACCGGAGATTGCCAAGGTGGCCCTGCGTCATGGCCATGCCCTCCGCCCACGTCCCACAGCATCATATGCGCATGACGGGGTACGAGGGTGGAGTCTTTGCCCGGCTGTCATGTTCTTGGCTGCTCTGCTCCATGCAGGCCGCACCCAGGGGCAACTCTCCTCCGGGGCGGCTGCTGGTGAGGAGGGGGCCATGGGGGGAGGTGGGGCTGGAGCGATGGCATGTATGCCCACGGAGAGGGCTCTGAGTGTCGTCTCTGGCACGCGTGCCATAGGTTCACCACCACTGTCATAGGCTATTAGAATGATTTGTTTTCTTCCACTGAGAAAGGAGCAGAACCACCGTAAACAGGCTCCCAAATACTAAATCTTGTAGGTGGTTCAGACTGATGTCATGGTTAATGATATCAAAGGCTGCTGATTGATTTAGGAGGAGAGAAAGCTCACATCCATTGTGTAGGCACATCCTCTACCTAGGACCTGACAATGATAATTAATCAACTAAAGCAGGGGTCTTCGAACTTGGCCCTTTTATGACTTGTGGACTTCAACTCCCAGAATTCCTCAGCCAGCATGCCTGGCTGAGGAATTCTGGGAGTTGAAGTCCACAAGTCATAAAAGGGCCAAGTTTGAAGACCCCTGAACTAAAGCAATACAGCTTCTATCCATGCCTGAGCCTGACCTCTGACTATATCTACGTATATCTATTCTATTAAATGTACCCATTTTGTAAAATATTTTTATCCTAGTTTGCTGCACTAAAGACATTCAGAATGGCTAAAGCAAATTCTCCTTTGAGTCAAACTTACCCTTGGTGATTTCATTGAAACCTGCGTGTAGTTTTGTTAGCAATAGTGCAGGCTTGCCATTTTTAATATAAAAATTCCTACAAGCAAACTAATACTAATTCCTTTACAGATTAAAGCAGAAAACAATGAGCAAAATAGATAAACAAGTTGTTTATTAAAAAATTTATTAAAACTCCTGGAAAATATAAAAAATAAGAAAATACTTAATATTGTTGTAAATTGTTACTGTAATTGCATATACATCTGGAAGATGATTTTAATTGTATTAAGAATTCTAGATTAACAGAACCACTCTTTCTAATATATATTTAAAGGTTGAAGAATTTCTACAATAAGCAACAAAGAGTCATTCCAAATTCAATTATTTCTTGCAATACTTTTTAAACTATTACAATAATCTCATAAATCTACCATAATAGAATGAGAAAATAATCAGAATTATGCATTTTACAGGCTGAGCATTCAAAATTATATAAAGTTTTTTTTTTACTCTTGAGACTATTAAATTAAACAATTTTCTTTGTCACTTTATAGAACAGACTTCCTATTGCAATACATTGCCAACTGACTAAATGCTACTGGATTACATAACTTGTTATACCAGTCCTCCATTTTAAGGTATAATTTTCTGTTATAAATAGAATCAAGTTAAATTACATAGGACTGTTACTGTTTCCTCCAGGAAGCAAGACTGTAAAATATACCTTGTGAATACTACATTATAAAATCAAAGAATTCTACATGGACTGGGGGAGCTGCTGAATATGGTCATTTGTGTATTAATGAAGCTGTAATTGAGAGGACTAAATCCCACCCACCCCCTTCCAAATTTGAAGGTACTTGCAGTGCTTGCACAAGTTCCTGATTTCATTATCTCTTACTATAATTCGTAAGATACAGCCCACAACATTTAATTGGTTGCCCTGAATGTTTGGAGAAATTAAAAATAATACAATGGAATTATTGTCTACAACAATGTTTCTCAATCTTGGCAACTTTCAGATGTGTGGACTTCAACTCCCAGAATTCCCCAGCCAGCAAAGATGTAAGATCACTTATTTGCAAAATAAATGAATTAGAATATTCAAAGGAAGGAGAAACATTGTATATATACAGATTCTTTCTTTAAGCAATTATATATCTTTTCTCCATGGAAATCCAGTGTTACAACTGTATAATAGTTCTGAATGAAAAGCATTTGAGGTTTACCACTCAGACAGTCTTAAATTAGATAAAATATACCAAGGGTTAACTTAGCTCACATGTAGAAATATACAATACAGGTAATCCTGTTTTGTCCTAATAGTACCAAGTGATTGTTTGAAGACAAACCTCCCATTCAAAAGCTACTTACAACCCAGTTTGATGACTGCCCACCCTTCTGTCACATGACCATATTTCAGGTGCTTGATAACTGAATCATCTTTACAGCTGGTTGCAGCATTTCGCAGTCACATGACCATGATTTACAATGTTTACAATATTCTGACCTTTTCAGGCAGAATCTGGCAAAAAAAGCCCACAGGAATATATGGATTTGCTTACCAACTGCAGTGTTTACTTAACAATTGCAGCATTCACTTTAATGATCACCACAAAAAAACATACATGAGAATCAGGTCTATTCATATGAGTGCCTTGGCTTACAACCATCATAATTTAAGAAATTCCAGGCCCCTTTATGGTCATAAATCAAGGACTACTGATACTTTCATCTGGGCACTGAATGCCTGGAAAACAACTGTTCCATGTGATGCTGTGTGATGTTATCTCACTTGATAAATGCATAGCAGTAGAAACAATTTTGACTAAATCGCCAACATCTGTTGGAGATGGGAACAGGAATTACAGGACCCTATTTAGCAACTGACTGTTCCTCTCCTCCAGAATTATTTTAAATATATTCTGTAGAAAAAAAATGATTCTGTGGACACTTGAACACAGCCCATTTTTATCCCTAAACCTTGTGTTTTGATCAGGGATTCTAGGAATTTTTTTCTTAATAGGTTCCACTGGAAAAGTTTGAAAAATCCTGCTCTAATCTTTGAGAATAGTAATCATTTTTTTACAATCTTTACCTGGATGAAATCACTTATTAAAAACCATAAAAGGATCAATTTCTAGACATATTTTCAAATAAAACTATAGTTTCCATAAACAGCAAATGACAGTAATAAATTAAGCAGTTTGTTAACACTAACAATTAATAGTGTATTATGGGAATCTATAACTGGAAATGGGAAAATGTATATAAATTTTAGTAGATAGCACTGACTATAATTTTTAAAATAATTTCCTATTTAATCTAAACCCCATATTGTTTTATTCTAAATTTTCTGAGTTACTATGATTTATAATGTAATATCCCAAACTCTTTCCATTTTGTTCAAACAGACTAGCTGAGGTCAAGAGTTAAGGAAGCAAAGAAAAGAAGGGTGCAACGAAAAGGATATAGTTAAGTATATAATTTTTTTTTTTATAAAGGGCTATTCATAAGGAAGGTAAATTCTTAAAACAAAAAAGCAATCTAAATTCATTTTCTTTTTTAAAAATAAATAGCTATTGCTGAAGTGACAGGTAGTCTGCATGGTCTATAAAAGCAATTTACAGTTCACAACTGGCACATGTGAAAAGCTCAAAAATGTAACTTAATTCAGAACTCCAAATTATGATTCTGGAAAAACTTCATGATCAATCTACTTAAGGTCATACATGCAAATTAATCAATAGCCTGAAATAAAATTCAGATTATGAAACTTCATACATTGCCCAATCAAAACCAAATCTAAACATGTACTAATTAATTGTTCCAACAACTTAAAGTGTAAAATTACATATTTAAAATATTATACACGTCTAGGTCCTTTCAACTGTGCTGCAGCTATACCATCCAAAGTAATATATGCGAAGTATACCTCTCTCTTCTCCCCCCACACACACATTCTTTGGTGTCTGCCTTATTAAAATTGAATGGTTTAGTTTCAGAACATACAATTTGAGCATCTTACAATTTTACTCCCATAGTCGACACATTCAGGTCCAATACATTCACAGCAGGCGTTGTGAAACCATCGGTATTTGGAAGCACCCATAGAATCACAAGAGATCTTGCACTGGTGTATCGACAGGCAGTCATCAAAGTAAACCACAGTACATATGCGTTCTAAGTAACCAAAACAGAAGATAGATTTTAGTTTTTTGACCAAACTCTAAATCACAGATCACTCAAATAAAACTTCTGCCAAACTCCTAAGTTAGTGGTTTCCTGTACCATCTCTATTTCCCTATAATAATATATTAGATCACTGCTCATATTTCATATGTTTTCCATATTTTAGAACAGAGATCATATTTATGCGATTTTTAAAAATAAGATGAAAATCACTACACCACATTTTAAAAACTTAAACTAGCAAACACCACACAAAAAATATCAGTCTTTCAACCACAATATTTTACCTTTTTCACTAGAATATGGAGGATGAACGTTGTTTGAAACGGAAGCATTCTGATGCTGGGGATGGTTCACAGTTTCTAAAATTGAGACTAAATTCTCATGATGTGATAGTTCCTCTGCAACGGGAAAGGACACAATTTTCCAGTTCAGGTTAGTATCGCCTTCTGTAAGTGCTCGGAAAAGGGAAGGGATTGGTTCATGCAGCTCTTCCACGGTACTTTTCGAAGTGGGAGGTGTGTCACTATAATTCCGAGGGTTACACATACCTGTAGACAAGTTGACAAGTTGTTCAACAACAGGTGCCCATAAGAATATTTGAGAAATAACATTAGAAAAGTTGACATTAACATTTTCTTTTTTTCTCTTTTTTAAAAATCAGTTAGTCCTCGAATTACGATTACAATTGAGCCCAAAATTTCTGTGGCTAAGCAAGACAATTGTTAACTGAGTTTTACCCAATTCATGACCTTTTTTGCCACAATTGTTAAGTGAATCACTGCAGTTGTTAAGTTAGTAACGCGGTTGTTAAGTGAATCTGGCTTCCCTATTGATCTTCTTGCTTGTCAGAAGGTCACAAAAAATCATATGACCATCATAAATATGAGTTGGCTGCCAAGTATCTGAATTCTGATCACATGACCATGGAGATGCCACAACTGTCATAAGTGTGAAAAATGGTCATAAATCACTTTTTTCATCTCTGTTGTAATTTCCAATGGTCACTAAACAAATTGTTGTTAAGTTGAGGTCTACCTGTAGAAACTTTCTTAGTCCTGTCATAAAATTTTCCAATATAATATACACAAAAATCCAAATACCACAAACTGCATTTTAACAGATTAAGAGCCTTTCAGTGTGAACAAAGGAACTTTTCATCCTATTTAGGCTGGAGAAGAAGAGACCATGGATTATAAATCCTGTTTATCTTCTACAACTATCTGGATCTTCCATCCAGATGCTTTTTAACTCAGCAATTGCAACAAACAATACCACAGTATCAATGTAATCTGATCTCCTCCCTCCAAAAAAGGATGAGAAATGATGGAGATGGCATAGAGCAGACTTCCCCAACCTTTTCAGCTTTGTGGACCGGCAAGGGGGGGAGGAATGGTTCCACGTGAGCGGCAGGCATGCACAGCAGCTGCTCATGCAAATGGAATGCACATACACATGTTCACCCATTGCTCATGCAAGTGGGGATGCACATGCACACACACCGTGGCCCAGTTCTGAATGGCTCAAGGCCCAGTAGTATAATATTTGAATTTAACAGCATAATGAATTAAGACTATTCATATAATACTTTATTTGATTACAAATCAAGACATGTTGCTTCAATCAATAAATGCAATCCTTTTACCAGATTTATAAAATCGGGACCATAAATCAAAGACAAGGCCATGCTAGTACATCCATTTCGTAGCAACTGCTTATTATATTCCTGGAAGTTATTGCATTCACAACTTATGTTGCATATTTAAAAAAAGAATGTGTTAATTCACCAATAGTGAGCTAGTACACCAGAATCTTACTCTTTCCTGAAGACAGCAAGGCATATGAATTAACTTTTACCACAATTTAAAAATAATTAAATATGAAATTACAGCCTGAAAAACTGTTTCGCTGCATTTGATTTCTGAAGTACTCAATACAATCCTTAATGTATTCTGCTAATTATAAAAATACAATGCATCCACTAAAATAAAGTTTCAAGAGAACATCTTAAGTAATTATTTCAATAACTAAAGTGGAAATACTTTGTAGATGCCTGCTGATAGTATCTACACAAATATTAGTACATATCTAACAATCTGTTCTAGCTGTAACATATATTATACAATGGACTATTTAATTTACACCATGTGTAAATGTTTAGCATTGCATTTTAACAATATATGATGCAAGGGAAACACTTAAAGGTAGTCCTCAACATGTCCACAATTGAGACCAAGATTTCAGTTGTTAAGCAAGGGGGTTGTTAAGTGTTTCATGCCCAATTTTATGACCTTTCTTCCATAATTGTTAAGTGAATCACTGCAGTTAAGTAAATCATGTGGTCACTAAGCAAATCTGGCTTCTCCCATTGACTCCACTGCAACTGTCATAAATAGATGTTGGTTGCCAAGTGCCCAAATTTTGATCACATGATTGTGAGGATGCTGTGATGGTGGTAAGTGCGAGGAACGCTTGTTTGCTCGCATTTTTCAGTGATGCTGTAAATTTGAATGGTCGCTAAACAAATGATTGTAATTCAAGGACTACCTCTATATATAGTTCAAATATCTTTTTGTTTTTGTTACATTATGCCTCTCTAGTGGTCTACTATGTTTGCAAGGAAACACTGAACATTTTATGGAAAAGTATTGACATTATATAGCAGGGGGTGTCAAACTCACAATGTCATGTGACGTATCGCGACTTTTTTGTCATTGCCAGCAATGGGGTGGGTGCAGTTTCGCTATGATGCATCCGGCCCGCGGCCTGGCAGTTTGACACCCCTGTTATATAGTGTTTGTGCTCATAGCTGCTTTTCCTTTTTAATTAGGGCATGATCTACAGTAATTTCTTTTCAGTTTTCTTCCTCGAACAGATCTTAAGAACATGTGTGTTCAGTTTGCTATGGTTTCCCACATATCCTTTAGTAACATGTAAGCAGCAATATAAAATTCAAATAGCATAATCACCCCAAATTTAATAATTTAATAATAATCACCTAATGAACTTTAGTATAAACATTAAATAGTACAAATCCAAAATCTGTCAGAAGCAATTCAAGCACCTGATCCCTTGTTCTCTATTGTGTCCTTAGCTAATAATAGCTACAGCATTGTTGTATATTTTTCCTTTTTCTATTTTGTACAGCAGAACACAATTGTACACCTGGGCCAGCTTTACTTTATTGATGTTCATAAATGCGTAGCTTGTTTTTCGATGACGGCTCAGAACAACTGCAATTTTGCATTTTTTAAAAAATAGGACAATATAGATGAATAGAAAAAGAAGTCCTTGTCCTTAGAGACAGTTGGCCAGAACAATTAACACCTGGGTAAATCTAGCACTCAGAAATGTAACAATATCTAAAATAATAGTGTTAGATATATAGTTTGTGTTGTAACTTTGAGGTAAGGGGAAGTACACTAAATGTTGCAGTTCATATCTACTGAAAATGAAATTATAAATCAGCAGTGACATGTAAAGCTCCCTGCTTGAGTTTCAGAAGGATCTACACTAGCAGTGGAGACAGTGAAACAGTGAGGCTAGATAAGAATTGGTTACTGCATAACTAGCTTAATGTGCAGTTGACTGCCCTCTATCAACCCCCTTTAATTCCTCACTGGAGTTTAACCCTGGCACTACTTTTTTGCACCTTCCATTCTTCAACTAGGAAGATTTGGCTTCCTTACAAGAAAGGAAGCTTTCTTATCCAACAATTCTTCCAAGCAGAATTTCACTTAATTATTGGAACAGGATAATTCACTCCAGCCAAATCCCTACAGTAACATCAATTAAAAGCAACAGGGGTGGATGGCTAGCACATTTTTTCCATACCAGTGTTGTCCATTACTTTCCTAGGGAGCTGCTGTTTTTTTGTGTAGTAAATAATTATAAGAATTTCCTATATTCTATAGCTCCTTTTTACTGATATTGCAGTGGCATATAATTCAAATTATAGGAAACAGCAATCTAATTTCTCCCATAATTTATGAATTGGCCTAGAGACTCCTAAAAACAGAGACTCCTCGCTCTCTTTTCAAACAAATCTAGCTTGTGATGAATCCTAACTCTATCTCAGTAAGTCTTCATGAAACAAACAATTCACTCTCAGATTGGCTTGGCAGATTGCTGCAAGAATAAGCTCCTTCGCAACATCCAGCAGATCAACACTATCACAGTATGATGCAGCCATAAAATATGTGGAATGGATCATCTTTCCCCAAAACAACATTAGAAAATGAAGACTCAGCTTTCCTTAAGGCCTCAACGTAATTCATTACAGTTGGGAATTTAGCATTTAATATCAGCTGAAAGTACCAAGCTGAGGTTTCTTCTCATCAATTGACATTAATAAATCCTCAACTTTGTTCTGCCCACTGCTATGGGCATATTCCCATAAGCAGATAAGTGTGCATGTGCCATTCGTGAACATTTAATAGCAATGAAAAACTGAAGAAAGATGCATTAAGCACTTCAGACGATAATGATAGCTGGGGGGATGTCACACAACAAGTTATGGTTGGGTTAACTAAACATTAATTCCTCTGTCTGCATTAGTATATTATACATTCAAACAAATAAAAAGTTTCAAATTAAGTTAAAATTAAACATTTCAAAACAAAATTTCAGATTTTTGCGTTGTTCAAACAACATTCAACATACAGTGACTGGCTTCCTACATGCTGACTCACAAACCACATAAGCCCATTTTAATCTAATCTAGCGGGTTCCATGTCTTGAACCACAATTTTTCCAACTTTGAAAACAACTGGTCAAAACGATGTTTTTCAGAAAGATTTGCAGCATACACTATCTTTTCTCAATCCTAATAAAAGTTTCTTCCTCCAATATAGGATGAGGTACACATTTCATGAATTTTGGTTTAAAGCACCAAGAGTTACTTCATGAATAACTTCCTCTTTAATAAATAGTTAATCTTAAACTCATGTATACACTGAATTAAATATAAAGTATCCATTATTCTACCTGGTGCTACTTTTGGCACAAACCTTAAAAAATGCTAAATAATTGAAAATTACTACTGAAAGAAGCTGTTTTTGGTATAGGTGGGGGAAAAAATGAACTCACCAACACAGTCACAGCATTCATCCCAAAGTGTGCCTAGACAAAGCATGCACTCCTTACAGCAAGAACAGTTTCCTTCACCAGGTCGGCACTGACACAGCTCCTGGATAATGAGACACAGAGAGAGACAGACAGACAGAAGAAAGGTTAGGCAGACAGACAAAAATATATCACATTATATTATGTCCTTCTGCATATGCAGCATCAATGAAAGATTATGATTTGTATTTACGGTTCTTAAATAATCAACCTCTCCATGAGGAAATCACGGGAACTTTTCTACCATCAGAAGGTGCAGAAGTTAAGCCCCTATCCTGGCTGAATGTATAAATTTCCCTCCATGATCCCTTATAAATTTACTCCAGCCTTTGGATGTACAGTCTCCAAGCCCAAGTTACCTTCATTTTAGTGCCTTGGAACACAAATTGGAAAAAATATAATGAACATTAATTCCATCTTGTCAACAAAGGCAACACTTCATTGTGTTGGAAATTATTTATTTAAAATTACCATCTTAAATAGTGGTTGGGAAGTAAATTGTGCTAAATAAAGTTTGCTTCCACAAGTCTTGAATGATAGATGGATTCATACAATGGGTTAACCCATGGATTATTTTTATCACTTTATTATGGAGCAAGCCAGAATAGCTGAGTTCACAAAGCATATTAAGCCAAAACCAGTCCCACCTTTTTGCTTATTGTATAGGAGCCCAAAAGATTGGGTTTATGTCTTACAAAAAGTCACGGTATGTTGAACGAGTCACCATAGGGTCATATCTCTAATATATATCATATCATGGCACAAGCCTATAATTTGTTTGCTGGAAATTTCAATATGATCTGCTAGAAACAATATATTTACTTATGTTGTTACAGTTTAGAGATTTTTTTCTTAACTTACACCTCAATTTTTTCATAAATAGGTTAAGGCAGGGGTCCCCAATCCCCGGTACTGGGCCGCGGCATGCCATTAACTAGTCCGCACAAACAAGCAAAGCCCCATCCATGGGATGGAGGCAGCACACAAAACCACGCACTCTCCGGTCCATGGAAAAACCTTTCTCCACAGAACCGGTCCCTGGTGCCCAAAAGGTTGGAGACCTCTGGATTAAAGAGATTGCTGAAAGTTTATGATACTTTCTTGAAATCCTATCTGAACAGGATTTAAAGAGAACTATCCAGCAAGACAAAACAAATCAAGTATGTTTCAATACAAGATTGTTGACTTCATTCACATCTGTTGCACAGCTGATAAAATAAATATTTATGTTGACCATTCCCTGCATTCTATAAAATGGAGTACAGTTCACAAAATCTCTTCTTTTCCCATGAAGGAAAGAAATTGATTAATAATAGCTTATTCTCCCTCTGTTCTTCCCCTCTCTTCAATACAAGCTCTTATAGAAAACAAATGTCTTCTAAAAACTAATTACTTTTATCTGAGAGGGTAACTTAGCTTACACAGAATTCATCAAAACTTGAATATTTAATATACAATTTTTTTCAGATAAAGAATGTTAATTTAGGGATAATCCCTTATAATGTACTTATAAATTAAATTAAGGTGTTTTATCAATACATATTTTTAAATTGTCAATGAATCATGAAATGCACCAGAAATGTATTTTTGTTTAGGTTTTTTTAAACAAATGCTCATTATTCAATTTAATTATGAAAATTATAAAATTGTTCAGTAGGAGAAAAAAGTTAAAAAGTTTCTAAAAATAAATTATTCAATTTGTTATCTTGATGGTAAGAGAAGAATTTCTCGTAGAACTATTAATAAGTATATTTAATCACACACGAAGTATTTGTGCCTCTTCAACATATGGTCACCACGATGTAAAAAGATGTTGAGACTCTAGAAAGAGTACAGAGAAGACCAACAAAGATGATTAGGGAACTGGAGGTTAAAACATATAAGGAACGGTTGTTAGAATTGGATATGTCCAGTTTAAGAAGAAGGACGAGGGGGGACATGATAACAGTGTTCCAATATCTCAGGGGTTGCCACATGGAAGAGGGAGTCAAGCTATTCTCCAAAGCACCTGAAGGCAAGACAAGAAGCAACAGATGGAAACTAACCAAAAAGAGAAGCAACCTAGAACTAAGGAGAAACTTCCTGATAGTTAGAACAATTAATCATTGGAACAACCTGCCTCCAGAAGCTGTGACTCTCCAACACTGGAAGTTTTTAAGAGGAGACTGGACAGCCATTTGTCTGAAATGGTATGGGGTTTCCTGCCTGAGCAGGGGTTGAACTAGATGACCTCCAACATCCCTTCCAATTTCTTGTTATTGCTGTTATTATTATTGGCAAATTAGGCACATTTGATCATGTAAGTATGCATAGATTTAAAATGTATATACCAGTTCTCCCTCTAAAAATCCTGAAGATATTTACAATGAAGCCTTATTGGTGTTAAATACTACAGTAAAATCTCATATTCTTTTTTCCCTTTTCTTTTTAATTTAAAATAGAGGTATAGTTTCAAAAAAGATAATGTCTACAGTTGAATAGCTACAATTATAAAACTGATGCTCAAGGTTAAAAAAATACCAAGTGAAGTATATTGAATTGTTTTCATAATATTAAAAAAAAAAGGAAATACAAACTTTTGAACTTAGTAACAAAACCTTTGTGGTTTAACATTTATTTAAAACCAGTATGCAAAACAGCCAAGAAATAAGCCTCAAGTATGTGTTAGAAATAGGGTATGCATGTTGATGAATTGGAGTTATTTCTACTAACTCATCCAGTTACCAAGCTGCTGCAGTTCAGGAATTATTATTCCAGGACAATTATTGCATCATTCAAAGGTAGGTAATGAGATGACCCCGAGTCTCAGTATGCCTGCAGAAACTCCCCTTGGCATCCACTGGCATCAATGCCCATACTGACTATTCTTTATTTAGGTTAAATGAAACCTGGCTCTTGAAAAATCAGACTGTCCACTACCCTCTTCATTTGTATTTACAAGAAGTGGCTCTAAGAATTTTTAGAAAGCAAATAAAAGGTTTAAAGCAAATATAAAGATATAAAGAGCCAGTTTGGTCTAGTGGTTAAGGTACCAGGCTGTGAGTTCTAATTGCACTTTGGGCATAAAAGCCGGGTGGATGACTTTGGGCCAGTCACTCTCTCTCAGCCCAACTCACCTTACAGGGTTTATTATTGTGTAGAAAACAGAAGGAGGAAGGAGTATTAGGTGTTTGCCACCTTGAGTTATTCATAAAAATAATAAAGATGGTTGCAGCTTAGTGCTTTATTCAGAAGCATCCATGTTGCCAGGAAAATAACAAAAACAAAAGTAAGTTGGGATGGTAATATGCAACTATCATGATAAATTATAATATTTATCTTCTGCTTCCTGATGATTTTTGCCACATTCTGGAACATTTGCCCTTGCTGACTCATGTTTGCCATTCTATTACTATTCATCTCTTTTGAAAATATATTTTTAGATTTCTTTCCAATCTATTTTTGATTTTACAATTCTGGTCATATGTTACTGGAAAAACTGGCCATTTTATTACTGCATGCTTCAAAGCTATCTGTCATTCATCATGTTTCCTACAGAGATATTTTTGCTTTGACTTCTTTTTCTAAGTGACGATCTAGCCACAGAGATGATGAGTATGTTCCAGTAACAAGAATTCTACAACCAGGAGCAGTATTTCAACATCAGTGCATGCACACTTAAATTCTGTACTCCAATTCTAGGAAAAGGCTATAAATTTAGTTGAATTAAACCAGCAAGCGTTGTATAAATGCTTTAGTAAACATGAAATACCCAATACTATCTTTAGAATCACTTCCCAAACATAATACAAAGAAAAACCAATGTATCACATAGTTCTGTAAAAAAAGTATTTGACCTCTTTTGGATTTCTGTATTTTTGCATATCTTTGCTAACAAATGTTACCACAGCTTCCATGGGGATCCTACTAATATACTATATAGAGCAGGCATGTCAAACTGCTGGTCTGTAGGCCGGATGCGTCACTCTGAAACCGTGCCCACCCCATTGCCGGCAATGGGGGAAAAGTTCCAATACATCGCGCGACGTCACATGACGTCGCGAGTTTGACATGCCTGATATAGAGAGACAATGAAGTGAACAAATAACACCAAAGTGGAATGCTTATTTCATTTATTTCAGTATACAAAATGTAACTTTTTCCATATTCAATGAGCCATAGAGCTTTAGTTATCCGTCAGGTTTTCCTAATGTTATTTAGTTCTAAACATTCTTCAAAAAAACTAAAAAACAAAAAGTATGTATTGCTTGCCTACTTTACATAAAGAAAATATATTCATTTCTGGTCACAATATAATGCTTCCTTATGAATATATATATTGCACAGAGTATATATAAATAACCCTGATCTCCATCAATAATATAAAAAATTATGAGTAGATAAAACAAATTCCAAAAATTAATTGCAAGTTAATTACAATAACAGCAATATGTCTTATAATTTTAATTACAATCAAACAGAACATTATAATTTTGATGGAATAGTAAACTTTTATAGTCCTATATTAAGAAAAATCATCAAGTCATTGTTTTTTACATTTGATTGATCAATATATTTTTCCTGTATCTACTCTGTCACATACAGTTTTCCACACCAATTTTAAGTTTTGTTCCAGAGATCCAGTTTTATGATGTGTTTAAATGAGAAGTAGGTAGTCACTTACAATTCATGGACAAGCCCATGCAGCATGAAAACAAAGTACACTGGATAAAACAAAGTGATGTCTTAGTTTGTAATTTAGTATTTCAAGGAATGCCTCCTCCATTATGGAGGAGGATAGGGTGATAGGACTTTCAGACATCTTCAATCATCTTCTTCCAGCTGCTTCCAAATGAAATGTTTCACCTGTAATGTCCCACTTATGTTTGAGGGAAGCATGCATGATACCCACATAAATATCTCCTCAGCTCAAGACAAAACTTCTCCTTCCAGGCATGTCTATTATTTTAAGTGTCTGAACAGTTTTGGAATAATATGATTGTATATGCCCTATATACTTTCCTTATAGTATTTATTCTTTGCTTTTTATCGATTCACTGTAAAAGTAAAGCAAATACGGTTTTACTTATTGTATATAACTTAGGACTAATGATTTAACTTTACAATCTGGCCAAGAACGTAAGTCTCAGTAGATTAGAACTTTATTACATACACAAATCACCTCATTAATCAATTTTACTGATTAATTTCAAAATTCTAATTTTATCATTTATAAGATGATGCTAATAAGTATTTGCATGTTTCTTCATGCATTAATGGAATGAAAATACAAAATAAACATTTCCACATTCTTCGATAAGTTTTCTCTTCAAAATAATTTTTATTTCACTTCTTTCAAAATTATTATTACAGGAAAATGTCTGGATTCTTATCAAGCATAAGCATATCTCATACCTGTATTAGGCATTTGCTGACATCGCTAGCACAGAGAGCTTTGTTGCAGCACATGGACGATGGGATCCAGAAGTACAGGAAACTGATTATGAGGAACCCTGGGAAGTACCACAACTTCATCTTTCGTTCAGGAGGGAGATTTCTAAAAATGTTCCAACTGTATTGAAATAAAAAGTTGTATGAAAAGCCCACATTTTGTGAGCAAAATACTAAGCTTCTTTCATCCTTATTCCATAATTCTCAAAGGCAGTTTTGTTTTTGTTTCCTATTAGTTTATTTATGCTCAGATCAGCAGCTTGTTTGGTAAAAGAATTCTCATGTAATTATAAGTCAAGACAATTATTTTTCCATTGACTTCAAAGTTATGTAAAGCATGACACTTCAAACGCTAATAAATATACTTATTTTAGTTACAATCCCATTATGGTAAAGTATTTTCTGCAACATATTTATTTCATGGAGTAACAGAAGGAACAGGAAAAGGGGGCCTGCTAGAACTAATGTAGGAGAATTCTTTCTGATGGATAAATGAGAACGTGTCTTAACATAACCTCATTTCAATTCCAGCTATATAGAAGTATTACTTTACAAACAAAGCTTCTGAAGAAGGAATTGGATTGGTGCCATATATTAATCAACAGAATATTATACTGACAAAGAATATACTGGGTGACTTAATCTTTGCTGGGTGACTTAATCTTTGCACTCTGCATCTCTGCTTCTAATTAGTTATATTACATACTCAAATCTACTTACTATCTCCCTATATTTAACAATATGGCTGAGAATCAACAAAACAAAAAGAAGCAAACAAAAGATGGGGAGGGGGCTCCTATTTGTAGAACAAGGTCTAACACCTTTTCACTTGATACATCTGAACTTTAGCAGAGCAACTTGAAAAAACCTGACATGACAAACATCTCTAGGATTCTTTTTTGAATTATGTTCTTTGTATACTGAGCATGATCTTAAGAGTTACGAAATAAGGATAATAATCTGAATTGTAATTTTAGATTGTTTACTGGAAGATAAGCCTTTGAAAATTTTAGCCAACAGAAAACTGTCCGATTGAATCCAGTTTTTACAATTTCGTTGTCAGTCCTTCACTTAAACTTCCCTACAGATAAACCAGTCTATCAATTGAAAAAAAAAATGAGCTTTCACAATTCAAAATATATTATTACCAAAAAGGACAGATGAACATTTGATTCCATATTTCAAAGTTTTTTAATGCTGGACAATAAAAAAAAAAAACCTGTATACAGAGAGACATTTTTAGAGCAAACAAAGCTGTTTGGGAGTTATTCACACCTGTTCACCCACACCGTATTATTTTCTTTTCTACTTGAATTGCACATTAAACCGTTTTTACCTGACTCAAGTAAGTCGTTAGTCAAGCCCCCGTAGTTGGCAAAGGGCAAATTGTCTCAAATGCGTAAGCCCCCAACTGTTGCACGCACTTTTTAAAAAGGACTTTTAATGAAACCTCCAAGGCAGCGGCCCAAGATACAATCCCCAGCCAAAGAACAGCTCTCCCCTCCCCACCCAGCGCGTCTGCTTCGCCTCGCTAACTCGGGGTCGAGCGCCTGGGGGAGAATGAGAAATGTAACGGGCGAGGGGGGGGGCACGGAAAGGCAGCAGAGCGAGGCTCATAAAGTAAACTCAAGTTGCTTAGCGTGGACCAGCAAAAGGCGGCGGCGGCGGCAGGGAATACAAAGGACAACTGGAGAGATGGAGCAGCACTCGGCCATCCAGGCTTCAAAGAAAAGTTCGCTTCAGGGCAAGGGGCGCCACCGACGCCGCTTTCTAAAACAGAAGAGCCCACTAGCCTCCAGACCCTACAAAAACAAGCCGCGGAGATCAGTCCGTGCGCGCCCACCTCCTGCCTTCTCAAGGGAAACCTCCGACACCCCCCCCCCGCCGCCGCGCTTGCTCCCCGCATGTTTCCACTGCGGTCTCAACCCTTCGCCGGGTCGGCTCGCTTACCTCAGCCCCGTTTTCCTCCTTCAGAGGCCCCTTACTCACTCCCCGCTTCTTCCCCGACCACCGCCTCTTCCTTCGCCCGGCAGAGCCGCGCCCCCACCCGCCACCCGCCACCCGGCTTCAGCTTGCGGAGCGACCGAGACGAGGAGAGTCGAGCCCTTTTTCTTTGGCGGCGGCCCCGCTTTGGCTGCCTTCGCGCAGGGCCGGACGGCGGGCAGCGTCGAAGTACCTTAAAGGGACAGGCCGCGGCGGCTGCGAAGGGAGGCGGGAAAAGCTTGGCACAAGCCGTCTCCTCCTTCTCGGCCTTAAACGCACGCACAGAGCAAACACGCACACACCTCAAGGCGCCGGAGGGACTCGCCCACGCGCTGTCTCCTCTCAGAAGGTCCCGGAGCGCATCGCGAAATTCGGCCTCTTGGCGCTCTGGGGCGGGAAAGCGCCGCTTTGGGGGGGGGGGGAGACCTGCCCATCCAGGACCGGCCTCGGTGGTAACCCGGCCCCTTCTTTGGCGCCACGGAGCGCACCTTTGGGCTCAGCTGGGTGGCTGCTGCCCAGGATAGTTCCCGCGGAAGGGGGAAAAAAGGGGGTTCGCTTCTCCCCAGTGGACGCGAAGGGCTTTTTCTCTTGTGACCTTGACGAGTTGCGCCTCCGCCCGACCTGTTGCTGGATTGGGCTGTCCACGTATTCGTTTTTGAAAAAGCTGCAGAACGGGACCAAAATAAGTTCTACCTCTCTCACACACACATAGTATTTTTTTTTTTTTTTGCAGAGCTAAGCTAGCAGTTGCCTTTCTTTCAGCATGTTGCCGTATGCGTAGGGCGACAGCATAAAACGAGCAACTTCGTTTTTTAATGTGTGCCAGTGTGTTCACAGAAAAAAAAGTGACAATAAAGGTTATCTTAACTGATAATTGGCACAAGAGTTTAAAAGCTCTATGCCACAATTGCTATACACAAAATCGTGGTCTCCCCTCCCGGCCCACCACATTATGTGATTCTTTGTGGATTGGCTAGAAGTGTCTACTGCTGCCCTTCTAAGTGCCTTTTGTGTAAGGCATTTGTACAATGAGCACATAAGAAAAAGAAACAGCCTTTAATTAGGAGATCATAATCCATGCACATATCTCAGTCACAACGTGATTTGTTTGATTTTGCCTGCTGTGTGAATCCAACTGTTGTGTAAGTCATAGTTTGTGCCTTAACATGTTACATGAAAGGAGCCAATTTGGACTTAAATCTTGTTTGGATTGTGATTTATCGTGTGTATATCCAGCAGTTGACTGAGTAGGAAAAATAATTGTTTGCTGCAGTTAATGCCAAGCTTCATGAAGGGCTTAATAATCAGTATTATTGAAACCATAGCTGTAAATGTAATACTTGCTTTCCTCTTTCTCTCCCACGTACCCCCTGGAACAGTGGTTCTCAACCTTTTTAATGCCGTGACCCCAACCGGTCGTAAGTCGAGGACTAAACCAGTCGTAAGTCGAGGACTAAACCGGTCGTAAGTCGAGGACTTTCCCTGCCCAGGAGCGCCGCGCATGCGTGGTTTCGCCCCCTGCGCCGGCCGAGGCGTAGCTGGCAAGCGGCAGAGACAGAGCAGGCCGACCACCAGCTGGCCCAACCCAAGGGAGGTAAGGCACCCACTGAAAAAGGGGGAAAAAATGGTGGACAAAAAAAATGGCGGACAGCCTTGCTTGGCGACCCCCATGAAATGGTCGATCGACCCCAAATGGGGTCCCGACCCACAGGTTGAGAACCACTGCCCTGGAAGGAAAAAAGGTCTTCAGTTCCAGTGCTTATATACAAAGAAGCCCGGTAGCACCTTTAAGCTGAGTACAGCAGATGCCCCAGGCAGCTGACTGCTGCAGATAGAGCCACAGCAAGGAACTGAGAGCCAGGCTGGTGCTGGCCTAGAAACCAGAAGTCTGAGTTCTAGTCCCATTTTAGGTATGGAAACCAGCTGGGTGACCTTGGGCCAGTCATTCTCAGCCCAACACACCTCACAGGGTTGCTGTTGTGGGGAAAATAGGAGGAAAACTCTTACATTCCACAAGAACAGGCAAAGATAGTGAGATGGACAAGAGCAACTGGAGACAGGTGGTGCCTTAAAAAAAACAACCCATATGCCATGAAGGGCTTTATAAGTGATGACTAACACGTCATCATTTATTTTACAAAAAAAAAAAAGCCAAAATGGAGCAGCCACATGTGAAAAATACATATACCCTTACTGGTTCCATATATATGAAGAGGATAAGTAGCAGACAGGTGATTTCAAGTGCCCTGATCAATTGATCATCAGCAACTGTGACTACCTCTAGTTTTAGGAGTTTGCTGGTCTCCAGCATTGAGGTGTGTATTAACACAAGGCCAAAGAGGAAAAACATCAGCAATGATCTTAGAGAAGCAAATGTTGCTGCCCATCAATCTGGGAATAAGCCCATTTCCAAACAATTTAAAGTCCATCATTCTACAGTGAGGAAGATTATTCACAAGCAGAAAACATTCAAGACAGTTGCCAATCCTTTCTAGGAGTGGACTTCCCAGCAAATTCACCCATGCAAAAATTCCAAGTTTTAAATCTCAGGCACTACAGGCCCCGGCATGTTAAATTTTAAAGTTCATGACAAATTGAAAAAGTCTGAACAAGTATGGTTTGTTTGGAAGGGTTGCCAGGAGAAAGCCTCTTCTCTCTTAAAAAGAACATGGCAGCACGGCTTAAGTTTGCAAAGTTGCATCTGAACAAATCACAAGACTTTTGGAATGGTGTCCTTTAGACAAATGAGGCCAAAATGAAGATATTTGACCATAATGCACACTGCCATGTTTGGCAAAAACAAACCACAGCATATCAGCACAAACATCTCATACCAACCATGAAGCATGGTGGTGAAGGGGTGATGATTGGGGCTTGTTTTGCAGCCACAGGACTTGGACACCTTGCAGTCTTTGAGTCGACCATTAACTCCTCTGTATATCAAAGTGTTCTAGAGTCAAATGTGGGGCCATCTGTCTGAGCACTAAAGCTTGGCTGACACTGAGTCATGCAACAGGACAATGATCCCAAGCATCCCAACAAATGTACAACAGAATCTGAAAAAAATAAGAAAGAATCAAGGTATTGCAATGGCCCAAAGTCCAGACTGCAACCTGATTGAAATGCTGTGGTGGAACCTCAAGAGAGCTACTGTATCCATAAACAAATGCCCACAAATCTCAATGAACTGAAGCAATGTTGTAAAGAAGAGTGGGCCAAAATTCTACACAACGATGTGAGACACTGGTACAGTCATACAGAAAATGATTACTCGTTATTACTGCTATAGGTGATTCTACAATCATAAGGTGTACTTAGTTTTTCACACATGGCTTCTCCATTTTGGCTTTCTTTTTGAAAAATAAATGACATGGTGTAATACAGGGGTGTCAAACTGCCGGCCCTCAGGCTGGTTACATCATGTGGAGACCACATCCATCCCAGCTCCAGCAATGCAAAAAAAGTCACGATACATCGCGACATGTCATGTGACGTGGTGAGTTGGACACCCATGGTGTAATATGTCATGTGTTATTGTTCATCTCAGGTTGTATTTACCTACTTTTAAGAACTATTAAGGACCAGATGATTTCTACTATGTCCTGATAAATAAAACCATAGAACTCAAAGTGGGTGTACTTCCTTTTTCACATGACTGTACGTATACATATACACATAACAAAATAGAAATTTAAATTTCATACTCCTTTCACTTTACACGGTAACATCATTTTCCTCCAAAAATACAAAAAATCTTCCTATGTCTTATAAAGAAATATTCAGAGCTTTATCATTCAAAGTTAATCAGAAGTTTCGATTAAGAGCTATTAGAAACAGCATATTGAAATTTAATTCCATCAAATAAGGTCCCACAAATTGATTTCCTATCTCTTTATCTCTTCTCAGAAATTCGGAAGTTTAACGCTTTCCTTCAATTTTGATACCACAGCTTACTTTCTCTAAAAATGCAAGAAAAAATATATTCTTCCCATATTTTGTATATAAACAAAACTTTAAAGCCTCATTCAGTCCTGGTAAAAAAATCACCATTAAAATATGCTAGGAAAGAAAGAAAAAATATTTTAACCTTGGTTGAATAAGCCAACTTTATAAATCTTTTTAAAAGTTTAATGTTCATTCATTTTAAGTATTGTTCCAGGAGCTGATTTCTTTTAATTCATCTTTTTTCATGAATTCCTTCAAAGGTATAATACATCTCTCTTGTAAATCCAAAATAAGAAAGGTATCTAAGTTACTCTTCTGAGTTGAAATCCACACATCCAAGTCAGTCTTCTGATTTATAGGAATTTGTGTGTCCCTTTAATAATTAAAATGTTAACCAAGTTTCAGATGTAAATCCTGCTTAGTATCTTTGTCAATATCATTATTGTATTATACTGTAATTTTAAATCCATATGGAAAAAAGCCTGATTCTCAATTGTATCCTATCTCTTCTTTTGAACCCTTTTTATAGTAAGAGACAGTCTTTCTCAGTGCATTGTTGCCAAATAGAATGCAGAGAGCAACATACTGTAGATGTTTGAAGGGCTGGAAGCTACATATGATGGACAGTTGCAGGAACTGGGTATGTCTAGTCCACAGGTTGGCAACCTGTGGCTCCGGAGCCGCATGTGGCTCTTTCAGCCTTCTCCTGTGGCTCCCAGCTTCCTCCATTTGCAGAGAGAGAGACAGAGAGAGGCACTTGTGCTTCCCCCCCCCCTCTCTGTGTGTGTGTGTGTGTGTGTGTGTAAAGTTCCCTTCCAACTCCTTTACTCTGTAAGCAAGGTCTGTAAATATCCTTCAATTTTTCAGAGTTAAAATACTTTTGTCCATTCAGTATTAGTAGTTCTTCTCTTTTAATTATAATCTTCAGTTCTTTCTAATTGCTTCTAGTGACCAGCCTTCAAAATCTCTTATTATGTTTGTCACTAATCCACATTTTCCGGGGCAAAGATTTCTTAAATTAAAAAGCTTCATATATATTTAATAAGATTTTAAGGAAGTATTATAATTATTATATTCCGTGTTATTTCCTATCAATTTGGCATCTTAGTCATTTAAAAGCTATATAAAATCATCCTTTTGCTGCTTATTACAAATAACAAAGATTTTGGTTAAGTTCTTAAGCTTAAGTGAAACTTCTTTCACTGAAAATTGAAGAAAAATCACCCAGTGTAATAATACTTGTCTTTCTAAAGGATCTTAATACTATACCTAAAGCAATTTAAAATCCATTTCCAGTGATAGTCATTAAGAAAGAAAGTGTGCAAACTCAGTACCTCTTTGAAAGCTCCAAAGCACAGCTTGGGCAAGGCCGACTCTCCTGATTCCAAAGTTCTAAAACC